GACTTATCCTCGTGCCCTGCCCAGCAGCACAGGGCTGACCAATCATGTACTGAGCCCTCTAAACCCACACTGTAACCAGAGGTGTGAAGACACCGATATCACCATGGTCCTGAGCTCTTTGAAACTGACGTGAGGAAGGAAGTTGGGGAAATGTGGAGAAGTGGGCTAGGGAAGCCTAGAATGTTCTAAGAGGAATTAGTGGAAGGTCCGAGTGGCCACGGGAATTTGGACAGCAAAGGCCCGGCTCCTGTGAGGCTTTGGACAGGAATGAGGGCTATTGGGAACTAAGTGAGGAGCCATTCATGATACATGCTGGCAAAGAATTTTCCAACAATATTCCAGTATGCACAGGGGTGACTCATAACGCACACTCCTAGTCGGGAAGCCACGGGCCGTCAATGGCTGTCGGGGACAGGAAGTCAGTTTCCTTCCAGGCTGGGGTCCCTGGTAGGCTGCCCACGCTACAGTGGACATCCCTACACCCACCTGAGTGTAGGCCACAGTAACTGGACTCAGTAGGTTATACAGAGATGGATATCTCTGTCTGTCTGTCTGTCTATCCATCCATCTATGGAGGACATGAAGTTGGGACAGGGATGCAGGAAAACCCTAGAGGAATTGGAGGTGGAAGACTGAGGGATGAATTTGATCAAAATAAAATGTACTCATGTACGAAGGGGGAAATGGAATTTTGCTTATTTTGTGTATGCCCTGAAAGCGGTGGGGGTGGATATAAATAACTTATTCAGTGGCGATGCTAAGGCATCGCAGCACTCAGGCTGTGGTACAATAATTCTGGCTGCTTTCAGCTGGATTTACAGTACAGATGGGTGCAGAAAGCAGATCAGAAGGATCTGGGGGAAATGGGCAACCCCAGGAAAGTTGCAGACAGAGGATGTGGCTGGGGATGAGTGAGTCAAGAGAAGCTAGACACTCTGAACGGGGGGGGGGGGGGGGGGGGGGGGGGGGACGGGACGGACACGGACAACGGAAAACGCCTGAGGGCACCTCAGGAATTGACCAGACCCTACCCGTCCCAGGCTCCAAGATGTTAAATTATAAATTCACTTGAATGGCAGTCCCTTGAGAATACCTGGGCGCTCCCTTGTTTATGCAGCCGGGGGAGTGTCTTTGTGAACCACCTCGGTGCCCAGAGGCTTCTGTACACAAAAGAATAAGGCTTGAGCCAGTGGCAGACCTTGGTGTTGAGCACATGGTACTGGTTTGCAAGCATGTAGAAGGCAAGCGTAGGAAGCTCTGTGGGCAGGGGACAGAAAGGCCACAGAGGCTGGACTTCCCAAGCCTACTGAAGCGGGTGTCGTGACACCATGTCCCAGATGACAGACAGGCGGCCTCAGACTTAAGGTTTGCCTTGCCATGTCTTTCTTCATTTGGCTCCTCACTGCCTTTTGCAATGGAAATGTTTTCTCTGAGCCACTGTGTGTTGGGAGCACACAACTTGCCTTTGGCCTTGCAGTCTGGAGTCTCAGAAGAGACCTTGAGCTTAGACTGCTGCATAATGTGGGAATTGCTAGCACTATGGGGATGCTTGGAGTTAAACTGCACAAATTCTGCGTTGTAAGACAGAGGTAAGCCTTTGGGAGTGACAGTGGGATGTTATGGTTTGAAATGATCTGTCTGTCTGTAAACTTGACAAGATTGTCAGGGCTATTTTTTTAAGGTCTCACTATGTAGCCCTGGCCAGCCTTGAACTCATTATGCAGACCAGGCTTGGCATCCGACTCACAGAGATCCACCTGCCTGTGCCTCCAGAGTGTGTGGTACCTTGCCTGGCCTGTGATGGTTAACCTTGACTGTTGGCTTGACCAGACTAGCATCACCAAGTGATCAGTATTGCATGTGTCTATCAGGGCATTTCAGAGATATTTGATTATGATGGATCACCGGGGCTCTGGCTTGATGGATGGATCAATCCCTTGATGGATTAATAATCTGGCATTGTGAGGAGGTGGTAAAAGGCAGGAGGTGGGGGCCTAGCTAGAAGGAGGTCGTCACTAGGGAAGTGACTCCCTGGAGGTTGCATCTTGGCCTGGCCTCTTCCTGTATCCTGGTCATCTCTGAAGTGAACAGCACTTCTTTGGGATATGCTCCTGGGGCCACAAGAGCACATGGCCAGATGATCACAGATCGAACCCTCTGAAATAGTGAGAAAAATAAACCTTCCCTCCCTGAAGTTGCTTCCATCAGGCGTTTCTGTCACAGAGTGGAGGGGTCATTGTTCCACGCTGCTCACCTGCTGATGACCATAGCCAGGATGATGGGGAACCACCCATACTTCAGGATCTTCATGATGGGCGGGTTCTGCTTGGCAATGAAGATCCACAGAGGGGTGAGAGCCATGAAACCGACACAGACCAGCGGCGTCAGATACCACGTTTCTGAGGGAAAGCAGACATACATAGCTCATATGGCCAAGGCTGGCAGATGGGCGCTGGCTGGGGTGTGGCCTTTGGCAATCAAGAGGTTAAGTTTGGAACCAAGGCACTTGCCATTTAGAGGGCCATCCTACCACAGCCAGAGAGCAACTGTGAAGCAGCTGGAGAGGCTCCTCTCTATCTTGCCACACCCCCTCACTTCTCTCACGTCCTGGCAATGGTCAAGAACCTTGATCAGGCTTCCCTACCCGATGCTACAATACACAGCTCGAGGCCAGAGTCTGAGCAGGTGGCAGCCTTGCACGTGTATGACAGTTCTCCATCGTCCTGCTCGGAGGTACCAAAGAAGCCCAGAGGAGCCAAGAGGCAGCTACTGGATACATAACCACAGGGGCAGAGTCGGGAGGAAGCTTTCTCCTGGCTGAGACAGTCCATACTATTGTGGAGCATGGATCAGGCTGGCCTGGTTGCTGCTCATGTCCCAGAGTCACCTCCAGCTAGGATGTCAGGGCGCCGCTCGCCCAGGGCCGAGGCCCCCAAAGCACTACTCATTTCTGTTCTGCTTCTACCCTCCAGCCTCCTCTGACTCCACATGCCACATGTGCACAGAACATCGACTTGCTCTAGCATCATCTTTTCATCCTGTTCCTACCCTCCTGAGCAGCCCTAATGCTAGGTGGCCATGCACAGTCTGTGTCCCACTCTCCTTTTCTGGGTGGTGTCGTTGGGGACACCCCCTCCTCGTTCTCCACAGCACACAACTGTGGTCCCTTCGTCTGCCCTAGGTGCCCCAGGCTAGCTATAAACAGAGTGCTTCACGGTAAATACGGCTAGCTTCTGTACCATCCCCAGAGCCGGAAGGAAGGCAGGACACTAACACTCAGGAAGGAACAAGACACTTGGGAGGGCGGTCCAGGTCTCCGTAACTTCTGACAGGAGCCATCCAGCTCCCGCCATCCAGTTCTGCCATGCATCTTCCTGACTGCTCCTGGCCGCTGTGGGCTAACTCACCCCCCAGTCAGTGAAGACCTGTCTCCTAGGGTCAGGCCCACTGCTTTCCTGAGCATAGGCAGGGAGGAGAGGGGAGGGGGCATGGCGCTCTGATTTGCTTTGCAAATCAAATGCAAATAACTAACTCCTATGCAAATCTTGTTTTAAACTCAGCCTGGCCTGAAGTACAACTAGGTCATCTTATCTGATTCCAAGGCTCCTCACTGTCTCCTAACAGGACAGGACAGGACTCAGTCCAGACTGGCCAGAGAGTATAGTGGAGGCCATACTGAGTAGTCTGCATCCACCGGTTATTTCTCAAACCTCCGAATGAATCCTTCTTCCCACAGGGCACTGAGCTGTGCCAGACATTCCCTCCAACAACGGTCAGCACCAGGTCACCCTTCTCCACCGCCCCCAGCCTGAAGGGCAGACATGCCCGCCGCCGCCGGAGCAGCCTTGGGCAGAAACTGACAGCCCCACATCTGTGGCCCTGAGCTGTTCAGCTCCCTCCACACTCAGTGTCTCCAGCCATCCTGGACTTGCTGAGTGACTTCAGGTTGCCCCCCACTCCCCCACCTCCCTGCCCCCATCTGCAGGCTTGGGCTCCACAGCACCCTGGCTCCTTCCTTTGAGGATGACGCTCCAGCTCCCGCTCAGGTTGGGGGTGACCTGGGTAGGCCCCCTCCTCTCCTCGGCGCCTCCCCTACCTCTGTGCCGGTAGAAGAAGCTGCTTATCAGGGCCAGGATGGACAGCGTGATGAGGTCTCCCAGGCTGGCTGCAATGGGCGTGGCGATGTTATCAGGATTGACCCCGAACTTCCGAGCACCAATCACTATGCAGATCATTAGAATTCCTGCAGCGGGAGGGGAGGGGAGGCCCAGGGAGCAGCTGGTGGTGAGCTGGCTTGGAGGCCCCTTGAGAGGTCAAGCAGGTGGTCAGAAACTCAATAAATACTTAGAGCTATCGACGGAGTCTGGATGCTCAGCAGGCTGCCCACCTCCCTGAGTTTCTGTCACTGGCTGGGACCGGTGAGGGTGGCCAGGGGTGGCCTGGAAACCCCGAAGACACACCTGGCCTCTCAACCCACCTGGAACTAGAGCGACGACGATGACGACACAGTACTCAGCCTCTGCTGCATGGAGGGCTGCTCCAAGGATGCTGTGAGCATCGGGAGCCTCGGGGGCAGGGGGATCTAGTCTCCAGTAATGGTGGGTCCTCTGAGCAACCGATACGTGAGACATTTATTAAGTCCAAGCACCAATGGATGATGGGGAGGGAGGGCAGACGGATACGCAGTGAAGGGCTCAGCCCAGATATCAGAGATATCCTGGGGGTCCCTTATCTCAGCAGCCCAGCTATGCTGTCCCTGGGCACTAGGGCGGAACACGTGACTCTAAAGTGTAGATAGTGATGGGCTTCATGGCTTGTCTGGGAGATGAGAGACCCATTTCCGGTGTCTCAGTCCCTCTGAGGGCACCTACCCTATAGTCTTGCAAGCTCCATTATTCCTAGCTGGGCCTTAGCCTTCTTCAGCAGGATCCCCCCTGGGTCTTCAAAACATCCTGTATCTTGGCTGTTAGAATGTAATACTGCTTAGAATCCTGTGACCCTAAAAATAATTACAGCAAGGCCCCGCGCTCGGTCCCTAGCACCACAAAATGAATGAAATTAAAAATAAAACCGACTACATTCACTCTCAAGGCTATGCTAATGCCGTCACCACCTGTCACACTGTGCCCTGTGTGTGACCAAACCAGAGGCCTGGACCTTCTTTCTAAGCCCCAGCTCCACGTGGACCTGAATTACAGCTGAGCCAATGCTCGGTGCCGGCCCCACTGAAGCCCCATAAAGGACACCACTGGTTTGGGAATGCTTCTTAAAAAACCATCAACGGAAGAATGGATGAAAAAAATGTGGTACATATACACAATGGAGTACTACTCAGCAGAGAAAAACAATGAAAGCAT